GCAGGGAGGGGCTGGTGGGAAGTCTGTAAGGGAGATCTTGCCAGCATTCGTGCTGACGGAGGTGCTTTGGCTCCTCCAGATTATACAGGTTTCATTCCGTTCAACGGTCTCGTCTGCGCAAAAGTGACCAGCTGACTTGCCGCTGGCGAGCTTCACTCTATGTGTAAGTGATATCTCTCATAAGCAGGGAAGGACTGGATGGAAGTTTATTGAGTTCTTACCAGCAGCGATGCTGACGGAGATGCTTTGGCTTTTCCAGATACGCAAGTCTATATGTTGCCATTTTCTCCCGTTCTTGGAACTATTGCCAGTCATGATACAGACTGACTTGACTCTCTGACTTGACTTTCTGTCGAACTGTAAGTGATATCTATTAAGCAGGGAGGGTTTAGCGGTAAGATCTTACCAGCAGCGATGCTAACGGAGGGGCATCTGTTCCTCATGGCTCTTTAGGTCGTCTGCTCGTTGTTTTTACGGCCCGCCGTCATCCATTCGCTGACTGTAAGTCGCAAGTTTATCTGAAGTGATACATCTTTACAGGCAGGCAGGGGCTGGTGGGAAGTTTGCGAAGTAACGCCGGCGTTCATGTTGATGAAGTCGCCACGGGTGTCTGCGGGCATTATGGGATGCCACTTATGCGGCAGAATAAGATTCTCTTGTCTGGAGAGAGATTCAAACGCCCGCTATCATTTGCTCCTTCAAGATCACTACTCTCATTCATATTGCTCCATTTTATCAATGTCCCCCAACCATACTATCAAGAGTCGGCGAGCGCGTCCTCAAGTCATGGCAATCACGGAAGGCATTTGCCAAGGGCTTGGAGTTGGATTCACCAGGTTACCTATCACCTGGATGCAACACCTGCAGGGAGGACTCTGGGCAAGGCAACCAAACAGATCATCTTGTCGAGGATGACTCTGTTGTGCATGAAGAAGAGGAAAGATGTATAGAAGGGATATCGAATGCTGGTATGCACCGGCTTTCGGTCCTTCTGATCTCAGGATGCTATTATGACGGTCTTAGCCTCTTCTACTCTCCTCAGGCCAGGCAGGACATTGTCTGCCCAATGAGGATTCGCCGGGGGCCGGCGAATTTGTGCGGACAGCGCCTCGACATTTGCGCTGGTTAGGGGATTGAGGATAAGGTAAGTACTCGGTCCAACCTGATCAATCCTGATAATCGTAGACTGAGAGAGTAGTGGAAAGTGTTTCTACAACCATATATACGTTCTACGAATCTCGAGAATCTCAAGAGAGTATCTTACCAACTGACATGGATGATTACCGAATCGGGCAATGACTTCATGATGAGTCGGCGAAGGATGTCCCTCACAAGCCGAGGCAAACGCCCCGAGATGCTTACTCGTCTGACTGCCGCGATCGTGTAGGTAAGTTCTGTCGGCTGAAGGGCAAAATCAAGGATTGTAGCATAATATCGTGTTGTTTGGGTGTTCCTATTGTGCTGCAGTCGACTGCAAACGTCACGGCTTCTCCCCGATGACTTTCTTTCACATTTGAGTTTGACAGATGTGTCCGAGAATCTGACAGTGGTTATACCATCATGGTACAGTTCTCGTGGTCGGCGCTACGCCGAGAGGACCAGCGTCAGGCAGATATCATGCTTGCCACGCAGTGCCACTCTCTGATATCTCAGTGGCTGCTGTCAGACGTGGAGCCTGAAAAGTCAGATAGGGACATTAGCTGGATGTTCCAATGACAGACCGGTGGCTCGCCTCAGCCCTGACGGTGGCCCATCCCTGTCCAATACCCCAAGTCCCCAAGGACGAACGGAAGGAACTGTTCGAGGTCAACCACGGGCAATCGACCAGGAAGACCGGGGTAGGAAGTCAGGCCTACAAGACAGTCGTGGAGGCGAGACACGGCGCTGAATGAAATTCCCTTTCTTCTGCCAGTCTGGACAAAGGTAAATCCTGGCCACAAAACTGCGTTACGTCGGGGCTAAGTTTTATTAGAACTATTGCAATGGGCGACAGCCACATCGCCACGTCCACGTCGTCTGGCTCAGAAGTAACAAGACAGTCTGCCTTGTCATTTGCTGTTGAGGCCGTGGAGAAATAGGTGAGGTTGAATAGAGCGCACACTAGGGGCTAGTGGGCAGACCGGCGATGCTTGGTAGTGGCGGCCCTCAGCGATCGGCGTGTTTCATCGCTTTTAGTGTGCATAGTGAGAGAGTTCGTCCGCAGCGGCATACGTATGACAGCCAATTCGGCAAGATTGATGTCAGTGGGTTCAGGTGTTCGAGTTCTTTGTGTCTCTTGTGATGTTGACTCGATGAGTTTCAGCTTGTTTGTCGGTCAGCCTCCAGTCTGCAGGTCTTTCAAGAGTACTAATCAAACATACCGAGGAACTCGAGAGTAAGTAACGTCTTGCGGTCAAATGGGAAATCTAAGTTTCTGAGAGATCCAAACGAGGTCTGGACTGTCGTGGACTCGTGGATCCCAGGTGGAGCGCTACAGAGACCGCCAAGGACACCGGTATGAGAAGTTGACGACTAGCACTGTACAGCAGTAATAATAGACATGAACGCTCTCTACGTAGTACTGTCTTGACCAGTGTTGATTTGACGTATCCCATTGCTATTTCTAAGTTCCTATGATATTCGATGATTGAACCCGAATCGGGGATACGTACAGGCTGGTGCTGTACCGACTAGTGTCAGTACCTTAGGCGCCCAGGCAGCCAGATCCAATCATGGCCACTCCCATTTGATCCATCATCTGTGTCATTGTGGTCCACATCCAGAATCCATTCTGTCTGTCGGTGACTCGGTGGTGCCAAATCATCTTCGCTGCCTGCGAGCTGTCTCTCGGCTGTACCTGACAGACATCTGCCTCCCATAGGTGGTTGCGCCATCCTCCACCGTGGATGTCTCCTGATGGAGTTCCGTGGATGCGTGTTCTCCTCAGGAACAGGACGCCATCCTCGCAAATCAGATTGATGGATTCGGCGATTTTCCGTTATTCAGAACACAAAGGAAGGAAAAACAAAGCAAGAACAATGGCAATAATATTGTCTTTCAAGACGATTGGCGCCCAGAGTCTCGTTGGATCTGTCTCTTTGTGGCGCCGAGTCGACTCAATCTTTTAAATGTGCCTCTTGCCCCCATCGACCTCTTGAGGATCGTTTCTTCTTCCTCCTCTTCTTCTTCCTCTTCTCCTCTCATTATCGTCTTCCTCATACTCTCCTTTTGACTGCTTTTGTTGTTATTGTCCTGTGCCGTGCACGGACAATAGTCATTCCTTTCTTGTGACTTTAGTTGCTGCTTGCTTGCTCAAGCACACCCTCACTCTCCTTTTCACCCTTTGAGAACCCTGCTTCTCAGCTCACTCCTTTCTCTACCTACCTGAGTACAAGAAGAAAAGAAAGAAAGAGGAAAGAATCAAAATGGTCTCCTTCAAGAACCTCCTCACTGCCGGCCTTCTGGCCTCCTCCGCCGTGGCCGCCCCCCACGGCCACCAGCACCGCCACGTCGAGAAGCGCTCCAGCAGCAAGCGCGGAGCCGCCTACAACGATGCCTCGGCCGTGCAAGCGCTGAGCAGCAATGGCTCGATTTCCTGGGCCTATGACTGGAACATGTTGGCCTCAGGCAGTCTGCCCTCCGGCGTCGAGTTCGTGCCCATGCTCTGGGGCAGCAAGATGTTCGGCGGCTGGCTCTCCGCCATCGAGACGGCCCTCGGCAGCGGCAGCAGCTACATCCTGGGCTTCAACGAGCCCGACAATAGCGCCCAGGCCGCCATGACCCCCTCCGACGCCGCCACCGCCTACAAGAAGTACATCACCCCCTACAGCGGCAAGGCCAAGCTGGTTAGCCCCGGTGTCACCAACAGCGGTTCTCCCGGCCAAGGCCTGGACTGGATGAACACTTTCTTGCAGTCGTGCACCGACTGCGGCATCAGCGCCCTCGCTGTGCACTGGTACGGTGCCTCGGCCGACGAGTTCAAGACCTTCGTCAACCAGGCCACCTCGTTCGCTAGCGAGAAGGGTCTCGAGAGTGTCTGGATCACCGAGTTCGCCCTCAACAGCGATATCAGCTCTGGCTCTTCGTCGAGCGAGTCCGCCCAGTTCCTCAACGAGGTCCTCCCCTGGTTGGACTCGCAGAGCATGGTCGGCCGCTATGCCTACTTCATGTGTGCGGATAACTACCTGCTCAGCGGAAGTGGTCTCACCTCCGCTGGACAGGTCTATGCCTCTTAAAATTTGGCTTGCCAATATCAGTGGGCGAATATACGTTAAACACTACAAAAAAACTGTGGATACAGAACTGGGTACTGCGTACCCTACAAAAACTGGAAAAAAGAACACGCTGTATATAAAGAAAGGCCGGTCTAGACTCCGTATTTAGCATTGCATTTGCTTATCGAATCCTATTATTCTGGTTCAAAGACAACTAGTCTAGTACAACACATGAGACTACTCCGTACAAAGTAAAGAAAGACCCATAATTCATAACAGATTCATTCTTAGTCTACCAGTCTTTACACAAAGAGGAAGGTGAAACTGTGAAAGAATAATGTAACACAATGTTTATCAACCTCAAAGGAGGGGCATTACCTGCTATCTACACGCCTTACTCTGTGTTTATCTTCTTGACCATGGAATTGTGGGAAGATAGCATGGAAAGTGATCATCTGATTGGTGGATATTAGATAATTCGAAACACGAATGTATAAACTCAATGCTGATTGGGAGAACCACTGTTGATCTAGTTAACCCTAATAATGAGCTACAAGCACAAAGCTCATTTGGTCGGTAAGCGATAGATACCCTAGACCTCAGACTCGGAGTATTTGGTTCATGTTCCGTTAAAAAGGCTGGCCTCGGTGAGCCTTTGGATTTCATGTGAACTTAGTTGGTGTATGCCATGATGATTGAAAGTAGGGCTTCGCCGCATGATAGATATGATGATATAGCGCATGAGAATATAGTCCAACTCCAGACGCCAGGGTATCCTAATATACATCCGCAAATGCAAACCATCCGTCATTGCATCAGTGTGTCGCCATCTTGATCTTTGTTCTCGTCAGTGCCGTCCCCCTCGTCGGTTTGCGGCGTAGCTTCGACTGGGAGATCGTTCACTGCTTCGTCTGCGACGACTCCATTTTCGGCATTGCCACCATCGCCAGCGTCCTCCCCGTTCACTTCAGCTTTCACATCGACCTCATCACTTTCGGCTGCCTCCTCCACCTCCTCCCAGACCCGCACTGTCCCATCCAGTCCGCAGCTCACCATGAGCCGCTGCTCCCCCAGGATGCATGTATCCACGCCCAGGACCACCCCATTATGCCCCTCCAGCCGCTGCAGTATCTTCTTGCTCACCACGTCCCAGCAAAGGATCGATCCGTCCTCGCTTCCACTGACCACAAACGCTTCCGGCGGCGCCCCCGGCAGCCCGTAGATCCCAAACCCACCTAACAAGCTGTATTTCCGATTCACGTGGCCCTGGTAGGTCTTGATGCATCGACCCTCGACGTAGTTCCACAGCCGCACGCAGTCGTCCAGCGTCCAGGCGAGCACGAACTTGCCGTTGGGCGAAAACTTGACCGCCGTCACCGGCGGGTTGTCCTCGTGCACAAGCGTTCGCAGACACTGGCCCGTCGCCGTGTCCCAGATCCGAATCAACCCGTCCGTGGCGCATGAGACGATGAGCGTCCCGTCCCAGACGACGTCAATACCGCCGACCGGGTCAGAGTGCGCCGGTAGCGACCGCATCACGCTGGCGGACCGAACATCCCACAGAAAGACCGCTTCATCGTAAGATCCGCTGACCAACATGTTACCCTTTGGGGAGAAGGCAATTTGATATACGTAGTTGTGGTGGCCAACGAATGGAATCGGATGAGCTTTGCCCTGCCAATGGAAGAGAGACATTAGTTGGGTCAAATGGGAGACGTAGACAAAAGGCAATACCGTCAACACATTCCACAGCCGGATGGTCTTGTCATCCGACCCCGACGCAATCGTAGCCCCATCCGGACTCCAGGATATAGTGGAAATACCCGCCAAATGTCCCTCAAATGTATGGATGAGCTTCCCGCTGCGCGTATCCCAAACCTTGACGGCTCCGTCGGCCCCTAGATACATCAGTCTCTCCATCTCACGATCGTACCTGACAGATGAACATACCCCCACTGGCAATCATGGTGGAATCTGGAGAAAACCGCACCGCCGATACCCCCCGCAGATGCCCTCTGAGCAAGAACTTTTGCTGATAAGTCAGTTTCTCCGGCTTGGGCGGCGGCGGAGGGGCCGGCGGAGGCACTGGCGTAGGCGACCGGTCCGAATACTCCTGGTCAACTTCTGCACTCCCCGCACTCTCCTCCTCATCTACCTCAAGCTCGTCATCCTGATAGCGCTCCGGCGACTGCTCCTGGGCGCTGGTCTCAGAGTGCGACGGGCTGCGTCCGCGGTTGCGGGACCGCCAGTAGACGTCGGCATCGACGGCCAGTTCATCAGGAGATTCTGAGCCGCTGAAGCTCCGCGTTCGACGGTAGGGTCGTTTAGGAGGGTACACCTTTTGCGCAGTCCAGCTGACGCGACGACGCTGCTCGTCATGGTCGGAGGCAGCCGCTAGCTCATCCGACGAGGAGTCGATGGGCGAATAGATAAAATTATTCTCGGGAGTGCTGACGTCCTGCGTCGACAGACTCTGTACTCGGCGACGTTTGGAGCGATGATCTGAATTGTCCATTGAGGCCGTGTCAATCGACTGTTATGAAGCTAGGGATATGATCCTCAATGGCAGACAGAGACTTGTGATAACAATTCGGCGATAATGAAAATCACGCGAGCCAATGACGCCTTGCGGCCTGAGGCGGTGAAGACGTGACTTCATCGTTTTGACCTCAATTCTCAGGCATCGCAATACAGCTTTCCTGGCATCTACTGCTTTTTCATTTCTACCCATCGATCAGTTCAAGAATGCTTCTGATACAGCATTCATCGATCGTTTGATATATCGCCAGCCACCATGTCATCCCCTCGATCTCCCTCCCCGTCTCTCTCCTCCCCGCCCTCCGAGATCCGCATCCTCACCCTCAACTGCTGGGGCCTCAAATATCTCGCCAAATACCGCCATGAACGACTATCTGAGATCGGCCGGCAACTCGCGCTCGCCGACCCTCCTCCCCAAATTGTCGGTCTGCAAGAATGCTGGACGCAGCAAGACTACGAGAGCATCCGCCAGCAAACCAGCCACATCCTCCCCTACGGCAAGTTCTACTTTGGCGGCATTTTCGGCGCGGGACTAGCCATACTCTCCAAATGGCCCATTGAAGAAAGCAGCATGTACGCCTACCCACTCAACGGCCGGCCCACGGCCTTCTTCCGCGGCGACTGGTTCGTCGGCAAGGGCGTCGCCTGCGCGCGCATCCGTTTCGGACCAGGAGTCAGCGACGTCGCAGAGGTCTTCTGCACACACCTGCACGCCCCCTACGAACGAGAACCCAACGACTCGTATATCTGTCACCGAACCGCGCAGGCGTGGGAGATCGCCAAGCTGATGCGTGGCGCGGCGGAGCGCGGACACCTCGTCATCGGGCTCGGTGATTTCAACATGATCCCCTCGAGTTTTGCGCACCAGCTCATCCACGCGCATGCGCCCGTCCGCGATGTCTGGCAGGTCCTGCATCCGGACTCGTCTATTGGCGCTGCTATCGACCCGCCCGAGCAGAGGCGAAACAGGCCCGTGCCCACGGCAGAGTTCAACCTGGTGGAGAACGGCGCCACCTGCGACGGCAAGTTTAATACCTGGCGGTGGAGTAAGGAGGATCGCAAGCGTCTGGAGAAAGGCGAGGATGTGGTGGTCGATAAGGACGCACCCTGTCCCCGGGGGAAGAGATTGGATTACATATTCGTCGGGGACGGCGGGTACCCGCCTGCCTATCCCGCACCGCGGTGGTCGGTCCAGTCCGTCGGGGTGGGTATGACACAGCGGCACCCGACGCTGCGCTGCTCGCTGAGCGATCACTTTGCCGTTGAGGCTGTCATCAGCCGAACGGCCTCTCAGACAACAGAAGTCAAGGAAGTCGTCCATCCTGTGTCCAGCGCCCCAAACGCCACCTGTACGCCGGACACATACGACCGCATACTCGAAATGATCCACAAGTATGTCCGCCGCGAACGCTCCCAGCGCCGCTGGCGACTGGCCCACTTCGTGGCGTCGGTTGTTGTCTCGATCGGCTGCTTTGTTGGGATCTGGTGGACTGGCGACCATCTCCCATATGTGGCCTTCATCTTGTGTCTGGTGAGCACGCTGAGCTTCGGGGCGGGAATCTTGGATGGGCTGATTGGCGGGCTATTTGTGTCGAGTGAGTTGCGGGCGCTCAAGGAGTTTGAATGGGAGGTACGCAATGCAAAGCGCATTGTTGAGCAGGCGGGGACCCGGGGAACGACCAAGATTGAGGAGTAGTCCATGACTCGGTTGTTGGGCTATGATTCTACGTGCTGTATATATTCCTACTGTATAAGTCCCTAAGTGTAATAATGCGTGAACTACGAGAGGGCATTAGAATAGAGTTTAATGAGTGTCATTTCCAAGACAATTTGTTATCAATCCATGTCGTGAAAGAGTGAAATGGAATCCATCCATCGCTGATATCACATTTCATTGCACTGCATCCAGCATTCACAGCAGACACTTACTCAGCACACTCGCGCTGACGCTCATCAAAGACCTTGAGGGCCTCCTCGGCAGCCTTGACGCCGCTGAGCACCATGGCACCGAACGTAGGTCCCATACGGTTGAAGCCGTCGATCTCAGACAGCTCCATTCCACCGATGATCAGACCCTTGGCGACCTCACGGGTATTCTTGACAATAGCATCCTCGGCCGAGTTCATGTCGAGGCCGCGCATGCCACCAAGCTTGTCAACAGTGTTCATCGACACGAGCCTCTTCGCGCAGAAGGCACCAAAGGGGCCGTCGTGACCGGTCGTGCTGATGACCAGGGGCGCATTGATGGTGTTGGGGTCCATGCAAGAGTGGTCGTCGTGGTGGAGGGTGACGAGGGTCCAGTTGACGACCACGCCGGCAATCTGGGTGTCCTTGGCGTCACCGCTAGCGGAGGGCCGGGTGACCAGGTCCTCGACGGCGGTGGCGTTGAAGAGCTTGACGTTGGGGAAGGAGAGGACCTTGGACATCAGGGTGGAGGTGAAGAGGGAGGCGTGCTTGACGACGACGAAGTTGGGATTCGCCGGGTCTTCTTCGTAGGGCACGCCAACCTCATTGAGGAAGACCTCAGCGGGACGACGGAGGACCATAGCGGAGAAAAGCTGGCCGCCGAGCCAGGCACCACCACCTGGGAGGGTTAGCTCCGACCCGTATGGTTTTTTGTGGAACGTCTACTCACCAGGAGAGACCGAGGCCTCGATGATTGCAATCTTCAAGTCAGGACGAGCTTTGGCGAGCACGTACGCAGTGCTCAGACCACAGGAGCCAGCACCGACAATGACAATGTCGCTCTCGGCATACTTGTCCAGATCCTGAAAGTAGCGTCTGGTCATAGCACGAGAGACCTGGCTCTCACGGATAGGGGCAAACTTGAAGTCACCCCACTTGCCGCCGAAGTGATCAAGGAGGTGAGTCTGGGAGGTTCCAGAGGTGGGAACAGTCTCAGGGACCGCAACCTTGCCCTTGAGGCTGGCAATTGGGGCCACTGCGGGCTCGAAGATGGCAGCTGGGGGAGACATTTTAAGGGTCTGTAACTTGTTAGCTATTCCACGAACGTGGAAAACACAGAAAAGAGGGAAGGCATGATCCTTTCGCTGGTATTATCCAGATCAAGTTTTGACCGTATAATCTCAGAACGAACCCATCCATTGGCACCGTGCTCTCTCGGATGCACTCCAGTCAAGAGGTACGAGCTCCGAAAAAGAGATACACGTTGTTGTGTCAATGAATGAGAACGAACACCGGCCCACGCCCAAGCTTTACCTGAGATACCTTGATCATTGAATGAACAGCCCAGCCAAAGTGATTCCATGGCTTCCATCATAGAGAACGACCCAGAGGGTCGAGTCACAGGTGTGGATTACATTGCAAGTGAATAGAAATTGCCTATAGAGTGGTTAGCCAACTACGACAGAAAATCCAAGTGAAGAGAGGAGGACTTGTAATAGATGTTGATAGAATTCTTTTCGATGGACGATGGTAGGATGCGTGATGAAGAGAAGAGGGAGAAGATGAGAGGGTGCGGGGTGGGTGGAGGGGTAGTTTAAATACTGTGAGTAATGAGCAGCCAGACACCACATTCTGCATCATAGTTTGGCTAAAAGTTCTATCATTTTCCTCAATTGGATAGTTTCACTTATTATTGACGTGTTGGCGAATCAAACACAACTCAAATTAAGCTTGATCGGATTCAATTGGTGAGTCTATGCACCATCCCCTCCAGCGACTCCCGGAAACCCCCGCCATCGATATGGATTAACTTCCCCGGTGAGTCTTCTCAAGTAACCGAGATTGGCGTCACCTTGACACGACAGGACGGACATCACAATGTCAACAATCGTGTTAATCCACTTGATTCGATGACTCACTTGATCGTCAAGAGACTCAAGACGTAAGGTGATTCTGTGGACATGCGTCCTCTGACCCGCAACTCAACCAGATACATATCAGGATGCAGGACCAACGGAGTACAACGATCCGATTGTCTAAGGTACTTAATAAAGTTTTGAAAAATCCCTGTTGCTATATCCTAGCGGTACTGGTAGCCTGGTAGCAGATCTGAGTGCCCACTCGCACGCCATACTCGTTGATCCAGTTTTTCCTCTTCCCAGCCTTCTCAATCGTTTCCGCCCGTTCCTGGAGCATGTGTCGCCCAGCAGCTGTTGCAGCATCATCACTGCAAATTATCCGGAGACACAACATATCGCACAATTCCTTCTTCTTCACGGTAGACACCCAGGTCGTCTCCAATTGAATTCTCTCGCCTGTCTCCGGGACCCGGCCTGCGGGATACACATCCCCGATCAGAGCGGCAACTCGCCCCAGGTACTGGCACCACCATGCCTCCTGCGCCGACACACATCTGCTAAGTTGATGATGGAATGTCTGGTCTGTGGGTGGGAGATCGCCCTCCCACCGCTCGCAGAGAATCAGACCAAGCAAAGCGCGATCGACATGCGTCAGGTTGTTGATTGACGCCAGAACCCCAGTGGTTGTGCAGTGAACCGCAGCAGCGGACTGGCAGGCCCGGTGCACCTGAGAATGTGCGTAGAGCATGTTTGCTAGAGCAGCTAGTAAACTATCATTAAAGGATTCCGGTGCTTGCAAAGACGCTTTTGGTGACCGAGAGGTTGGCAATGCCTGCAGAAGAAGGTCCCTGATCGCCCTTGCAGATGGAGGCGCGTATGGCGACGTCGCGGCTAGAAGAGGGTGCTCTGCACGGATCTCCTGCGGAAGTCGATCAAATAAAAAGCCCTCACGTACTCCTCCCTGACAGAATTGTATATGCGTAATGGCAGGTAGAGCGTCCATGATCACGTTGACCAAAACAGCCACCGCGGGGATCTGCGATGCCCGCCGCTTCGACACTCCAAACACCCGGACTTCAGAATCCGAGACTGTCTCTAGAACAGATGCCGTATCGTGAAAATCCTCCCTGCGCGCTCTGTAGCCATTGATAATCGGGATCGGGTACGGGTTGACGCTGGACTGGTTCATGAGCATGTATCCCCAGCCTCTAAACCCCCCACCACAGAGATACAAATCAAATCTTCCACTGCGCTTAGCAGCCTCAACGAGACGCTCAGGAAGCTGTAGACGCGCGTACGCATCCTGGAAATTCCTCGTCATCTCCTCCTTCAACGTCGCCTCTGCATCCCCGCCTTGCCTCCTCGCCTCTTCCCAGCGCAGCTTCAATGCCGCCGCCCCGTACGGGAAACTAAACGAACCTAGGGGGCTCGTGCTCACCAGCCCATCCTCCTCCATCACCCACGTAATCTGCGTACTCCCGCCCCCAAGATCCATCGCAAGTCCCGCGACAGAATGCGAGCTACTTGCGATCCCCAACGCCCCGATACGTCCCTCCTCCTCTTTGGAGAGCATGCGCACCTCCCAGCCAGTGCGGGCCTTGATCCGCGCCCGGAACTCGTCAGAGTTGGGTGCGGTGCGTGTGGCCTCTGTAGCGAGGACGTGGATGTTGCTCGTGGGTACGCAAAAGTCATCGCAGGTGATTTTGAACCGCACTAGTCGGTCCACAACCTGCTCGATGATTTCTTGCGAGATGGGCCCCCGGACCCTCTGCCCGTTCTCTGTCTGGGAGAATTGGGCCTCGTAGAGGGAGATTCCCACCCGGTCTTGGTAGATTGTTGGCAGGAGCCGGGCTGTGGGCGGGGAGATGTCGGTGATGGAGAAGCGAATTCCATTGCTGTTTTCGGGTCAGATTGCTGAAAGTGAAGATAATTGATGCTCTGGCAGCACGAGTAGAGGGAGAGGTTGAGTGCTCATAGCTTACCTTCCAATGTCCACTAGGCCATATAGGTTGCTCGTATCATTTTTTGACTCTGTAATCATGTTGACTGCGCAAACCTCGGATTGATATCCAGAAGTTGGTACCACTCAAGGCTGCTTTGATGGCGATAAAGGAGCAATTGGTGCACCCTTCTGATCAAGAAGATGAAGCTTTTTGAATCCACGAAAGAGGAGCTGGATACGATGCAAACTCTACCTCTCACTGTAGAACAGTTGCTAATAATTGACTTTGACGAGGCGATGGGAAGACAGGACGATGCGTAAGTCAACCGCAGATAGTCTGCCCCACTAAGGAAACACACGCAAGGAGGACACTATCACTGGCAGCGATGCAGCCATAATCAGAGCGTCCTGTGATATACACTCTCGAAAATCATGTAAATGGATTTATGGAGTTCTATGTGATCAAGTCTAAGGAAACACGACTTGGTTTTCCAATCATGTTCTTATATCGTGCCAGCCATCCATCTTGGCTGCACATCATAGCCCTTCCCGCATTTATACACCAGATATCGTTTTTAATCATCAAAGCCGTCATCATAATATCTCATAAGACGTAGCGGAATCCAGATCCATAATTCTCCTCTGCCACGCTATCATCGTTTCGATTGGAGCCTCCTCCGGCAGATTCCTCGTTCCTGGTGCCATATTTCCGGTCCAAGCGTTTGTTTTCCCAGACCAAAAGAAACCGCAAAGTGAGTGCTAGGATAGTAGTAAAGAACATAAAAGCGGCGCAAATCGATTGTCCTCGAACGTATCGAGGCGCATCTTTCTCGGGGAAGACGTTAGTGCCCAAAAAAGGGCCACATTGTCCGATCAGGTTGAGAATTACAATCCCCATACCTCGTCGGGTGTCGGATCCTTGGTTATCTAGACGGGTTGATTAGCCTCTGATCAGACGATATGAAATGATGATGACGCACTCAATACCCAGGGGAGTATATTAGCGATCGAGGGGAAGACTCCCACTGCTGCCAGAAACACGCCGAGATAACGGGCCCCAACTGAGGTGCACGTGGCGAGCAGCACATATCCAACAGCCCCAATGAGCGACAAAAAAGCAATCATCAGTCCTCGCTGTTGCAGTCGATCGGCCAACCAAGTTGTGGCAATTGTAACAAGAAATGAAGCAAAGTATGGCGGTGCTGTGAGACCTTGGGCGTTGATCGACGTGAAGCCCATGTTTTCAAGAATCGTGGGAAGAAACACAGGGAGCGAAGAAAAGCTCACATTGCAGCTGAAGTACATCAACTGTAATTCCATATCAGTACCATTCGTCCGAGAATCAAAGGAGCACAGCATACCGCCGTGAACCAGGCTTTGACATCCAGCAGGGTACGGCCAATATCCTTCCAGTCAATGCCTGTTACACGCTCGCCCTCACCGCTCCTCCGAAGCCCTCTTGCTCGTGCAACCTTTTTTTCTTCTTCATTCAGGAAACGGGCAGACGCTGGGTGATCGGGCAGGAAAAACCAGGCAAGAAAAGCAGCAATCAAAGACGGTGCCCCTTCCACTAGAAACAATAATCGCCAATTGGCCAACTTGGAATGGCCAGACGTGATTCCATACGCCAGGGCCCCTGCAAACGTATTTGCCAAAGGCGCAGCAGAGACGAACAGCCCACAACGGAGACCGAGTTCATGACGGCGATAGAAGAAAGACAACAGATAGGGTGTGCCCGGTCCGAATGCGGCTTCAGCCATCCCAAGGAGGAAACGGAGGGCCATCATTCCCTCCCAGCTCTGTGCCGCAGCTTGACAAGTTGCAACAATGCCCCTAAAACATTTAGGATGGTTGACACGCACGGAACCAGGTCGTCATGTGGCACTTACCAGCTCAACACAGTGATCGCTGCCCAGCGATGAGGCGGTATAATCTTCCACATCAAGGCTAGAAACTCGAACAGCGTGTACGAGATGTAGAAAATGGTCAGAAGCCAAGAATAGCGATGTCCACTTAGACGTAAATCTTGTTTCATCCCAGCTATGTATGCATTGCCTATATACAGTCAGATGGAAATCTTGTTCCGTCTTAGTTATGAAACAGACCTATGTTGGAGCGGTCGAGTAGCGACAAAAGGTCTAGGCTCAAGGTTCTCGTCAGAAACAACATTTAAGAGCCGACAAAGTCGTGGGAGAACTCACACAAGAACCCCAGAAGTGTCGGGACCCTTAGATCCAGTTTCCTCAGAACTCGACGCTCGACAGCCGGGTCTATAGTGATGACCGGTGCAGGCATTGCAGGCAGTGCTGTGTCGTTGTCTTCATCCTGATGGACCGCATTTTGTTTCTCTGTGTCGACGCTGGGGGCTTGTTCAATGGCATCTTTCGTGTCATTCCTGGGAGTATCATTATCCCCGAGAAGCCCCATGGCCGAAAGTGGTGCTTAAAATGAGGATATCAGCTATGAATGCATAAAGGTCTGGCGACGATAAATCGAAAGACATTGTGAGAGCTGTAGGACAACGAGGACATGATGCGCTTTTTAATTGTCAACACAGTAACATCGGCAATGCTGGTGCGACCATGTCCGGATCTATTGAGAGATCTGCAGTGTTAGGCCCGATCATCCTGTCTTACAGCCGAACCAGAATGGCTGAGATTCGGTGAGGGGGGGAAGTGTGACGCCATATGGAGAAGACAATAGTTGAGGAAAGTGGAATAATACATAATCGAGACATCCTCATTTCCGAGAGCAGCATCTCGGGCTCAATATCGGATCTCAATTGGATCCCAGCCATGGAAGACATAAAAGTGATCCCTACCTTATCTACACCTTCAAGCTTAGAGTGCGGAGACAGAAGTGGCGGGTCGAGGGAAAGCTTGTTCTTAAGCTCCAGTCGTCGTTGAGCTGTTGAACTGGACAAGTCAATATCTCATAGCGAGAGGGCTGGAAGAAGTTACGATTTATAGTTGTAGGGATAACTAGATCATATTGTTGTGGTCTTCACGCCGTACTATCCTTGATTCCCTTACTCCGTACAGTCTTTTCATCTCCCCAGCCTCTGCTCATCTTCATCCTGGTCGATCATTCGGATTGTCCCCGATCCTGGGCCTCGTGCCTCATCTTCATGCCTGATTGGTAAGGTGTCTAAAATGCGCTCTGAGTCTCTCCCACCATCCGCACCCGCGTCTCTCTGGAACTTCAATTTTCCCGCGTCGCGTTGCTAGCTAAGCATTCATCTAATTGTCATCGTCTTCATTTACTACTCCTTGGAGGTGCCCTCGTCCGCCTTCGAGATTTAATTTCCTCTAGATAGACGGGATTCTGCCATTTCTGCGACCGCGTTGACACCGAATTTACGATCGTCCATCGACATTTGGTCACAATGGACGACCCAGCGAGCCGTGTCCCGGCGCAGTTGGTGAGTCGTCCCTCTCGGACTTTCGAGCAATCATTGCACAGTTATTTGAAGGAGCAGCATGCTAACTTGGTGGATTTGTTTGTCATAGCTGCCGCACATGCATCTGGTGTCGCGCCATCGGTACCCTTTGATGCACATGATGCCTACAGACACCGTCGTCGAATACCTCCTGTCCGCGTCCAAGATCGTTCGCGAAGCGCAACCGATGCACTGGACCTTTTTAGATGGACCTCAGGATGGAACGGTGATGCTCACATGGCAGCCTCTTAATCACCTGGGGACAAACTTCGCCAGCGATGGTTACGTCTGGGCCGACGTTGAACAGGCCTTTACCTTTGAAGCTCGTGGATACGTATGGCGCTTGTCCTATGCATCTCCAGTTCTCTGATTTTGTATGCTGATGCCTGACCGGGACAGATGGTGGAGATGTGGCTCCATCGCAGCGGTTACCACCCTCCCAATGAGTCTGTGGCCATCCACTGTCGCAGACGCTACCGACTGTTGCCCACGAAAGTTCCCAACCCTAGCCTTCCCCCGCCGGACCCGTCACTATGGATCGTGCACTACTCCAGAGCGCCTCCTACGGAACATATTCCGGCGAACCGGATTCCAGTCTCACCGCAAGTGCAAAATATGCTGGCCCAACGTCGATTCCTCCAAAGCCAGGGTCAACTGGCGCGCAAAGACTTTATGCTTCATGATCGGAATAACTGGCCAACAATCAACTTTCCTCCACAAATAGCCCCACAAGCACTTGCTCAACCAGCGGGGCCATATCCCAATGCCATGGTTGGCCGTCAGCCGTTCTACCCCCAGCCCGGCCAACCTGTGCCAGCGCCGGCCGCTGCAGCTCCGGCCAAGGCACCCCGTGGGCATCGCGCCTCAACTGCGGCGATGACCGCTGCTGCGGCCGATTTCGCACTCGAAGATGAAGACGTTTCTACCGGCGACATGATGGATTTACTGACCCCTCGGGAAGTCAGCAAAATGAGATATCAGCAACACCACGAGTGGATGGAAGAGATCTTCGCCTCGCCTTATGCGATCAGTCAGATTACACCTGTTTCTTTGGGGCTCGGTCGGAAAGGAGAATTGGAGACTCTGACTGCAGGCTTTTTCGATGCACCCGTTGGGCCTGCAGGTGGCGATTCGAAAGAAGGCACTGAGCCTGCTCAGGCGACGAAAATGGAGCCCGAAAAGGCAAAGGAGTTTGCCGACCGGGTTGCCAAAAAGGTCGCCGACATGACTGCGGAAATTGAGAAGCTCAAGAAGCGCCATGCCCGAAGGATGGAAAAGTTCAATCGCACCTCTCTACTCAAGGATGCTGAACTCCGACTTCGGGATGCGGCAGCGAATCCTGAAGATACCGGAACAGAGATTTGGAGGATGGAAGGTCGCACTGAAATACCGACCGAAGGGGATGGAGCTGAGGTCGTTCCCGTTGAACACAAGGCCAAGTATAAGGTTGATGACATTGTCAGGGAAGTCGAAGCCTCATGGCACAGGCAAATCGTGCCGGAACCCAAGGTTTCCTGCGTACAAAAGGGTGGCTTGCTGGAAAAGATTGAACCCGAACCTGTTTCAACTGCAGCTGACGGTGACATCGACATGGGCCATGCAGACAGCCATCTGCTTGGTCAATTCGGCACGCCTGCGCAAGGGGCAGCTCCTGCAGCTCAGGGACAAGCGGCGCCAACAGCCACTGGAGCGGCACCTGCTGCACCCACCGCGCCTGCGCATCACCAGCCGATAACTGGTTTGGATGTCGAAATGGACATGGGCGGTGGCCAACCCACAAATACAGCTGCCGGAGAAACTGGCGACTGGGTAATGGTGAACGAGGACAACAAGAAGGATGAAAATATCAATAAACCGCCTGGCGACATACAAGCGGGTGAAACGCCGGGAAGCGGATTACAAGGACTAACTCCTGGCCCTGGGAGCGCGGGTGATACCGGTCTTGACAGCGCGAATTTCGACTTCACCAACATGGACAGTGCCGGAGACGCACTGGCAGCATACACGGAGCAGAACGAGGGTCTGGATCTTCCTGATCTGGATAACTCAGCGTTTGGAGATGCCTTTCACGCATCAGATAATGAGCATACCCACCACCATGATGCAGATGACATGTCGTAAACGGGCCCGGAGGTGGTTCCATTTTTCTTTATTTGGATGTAGGCTTTCTCAACGGGTGTTGGATGCTTCTGTTATATGCTGGGCGCTGGTTGATTTTTTGTCGCCCCGTGCTGCCCACTCTTCAAAGGAAAAGAACTTGTTGTGTTGTACGATCTAGATACGGAGACCCACGTTGCTACAATCGATTCGTGGCGGCCTGTATCAAGGCCGGCGTGCTGCGCTCTGGCATCGGTCAATCTTATATTACTCTCTATGCTTCACTTACTGGAAGGTTTGGTCTCATCTACGATGCGTTAAGAGTGGAATGTCGCGTGGGTGCCTAGCTCTATCAGTTGTCCCGCGCACATGACGGCGTCACTGGATGAGCACAATCGCAACACTCACTCACTCTGAGGTTTGAAGATGAATCACAAGGCGGGAAGATCCGCATGACAGGACGATAGTTGAATATTCATTTAATGACATTATTGCTCGAGTGAAGTCTGGGGCGGATTATACTGCTATGCCATTATCGCAACAGACATTGTGATCCTTTGACTATACCGTGAGCTTTCCTAACTTTGTCGTCTTTTGAATCCTTACAGCTGTTATTCGGTCAAAGTTGATTGCAGTACTGTCATCGTGGTCGCGTCGGATCTACTACTCTGTGTTTTGCTTGCCGTACGGTGGTCCATCGGCTGCTATATTCTCCCACTCGGTGTTGCTTGCGTATTAGATCAGGGTCCCAAGAAAAGGGCGTTCACGGCTGTTCCTCATCTACGACCAGTCTCATTGTCAAACTGACAGAGTCGATATGTGCTTCCTCGAAGTTGACGAGGGATCCGGGCCCGGCGTCCGAGTCGTCGAATACCGCCCGGGGACGCTTCGCGTCTCGATTCCAGGTTCTCTTCGGCGCAGAAGAAGCTGCAGTAGCGGAAGCAGCAGTGGCTGCTCCAGTTCCAGTTCCAGCTCTAGCAGCAGCAGCAGCAGCAGCGATGATACTATTGTCATTGCACCGCGTCCTTCGCATCATCAACACCACCACTCCTGGCATGTGCGTTCAAATTCACCCGAACTAGAGCCATCTTATACAACTGTGCGAAGAACGAGAGTGCGCACGCGGTCCGAATCGGTTATTCCTGTCAGAAGGAGGTTCTTTGATAGCCGGACTCGTTCATCGTCTCCTCCGCCACCGTCTCCGCTGTATAGATGCGTGAGGTATGTTGAACCTGGGGGCTGGGGACGATCGCGTTCCCACCATCCGGGGAGAGTATGGGAGGAGGAGGTGAGATATGTCTCTGGGAGAATCAATTGAGTCCTGGAAGATGGGAGCATCATAGTTATGGGTGAGATATATTAGCATGGCTCTGGCTTGAACATCCACAAGATACGCGCTATCAAATTTAAATACAGAACTTGCCTTTTGATTGGTAGAAATGACTGTTGCATTGGTATTCCAAGATAGAAGGATTTCCCCCGTCATAGAGAGGTACCACGAACCCACTCCATCAGATAGACTACGAGTCTAGGGCGCTGGGCTCGAAATGCATCGCAACCCAAGACCGCAACACGATCACCGTCCTCGTTTCCCACGGCTCCAAAGCTCGAACTTAACTCTAAATCATCAAAATCAATCACACACATCAGGAAGCATCTTGACATTGACTGCATTCGGATCATGACTTCAGCTTCCGCACATCCCGCATGACGTCATGTACGAGCAACTGCGCCATCAGCTAAGATGAACACCCGTTCGTCATCTCCAAGCGATATTCATATCTCCGTCTTGTGTCATCGTACATTTGATCTGCAGTTACCGAGTCAATAAGAGGACAGCCTGTTCTTCTCGTTTGTACAGCTATACTGTGTCTTAACCGCACTCGAAGGAAGGCGCATTCCGGCTTGATTCCATTCAGTAGCAGCTACGGATTGCCTCACCTAGTAAACTCATTGTACAGCTTTTTGGTGAATAGCTAAGTTTCGACAGACATCGCCATCATGTATGAATCGTGCGGAATACCCTATCCTCTACGTGGCTAATGGCAACAGGAACCGAACGCTCTCCATCCGAAAGAAGGAACCAGCCCGCCACCGCTTCAGCATGTCCACCTTCCGCGGTCTGCAGACGCCCGAGCTGAGCAAGAAGATGAGCCGCATCATCAAGCAGGAGAACTCGGCCATCTCAGCCCACGAGGCAGCCGGCCGCGAGCGCGTCAACATCGCCGCCCAACTCTCCGAATGGGGCGAAGGCACCGAGGACGATGCTGTCTCCGACATTTCCGACAAGCTCGGTGTGCTGATGGCGGAGATCGGTGAGCAGGAGGACAACTTTGCGCAGAGCCTGGAGGATTACCGGGGTATCTTGAAGCAGATCCGGGATACGGAGAGCTCAGTCCAGCCGTCGCGCGATCAGAGGGCGAAGATCGCGGATGAGATCCAGCGGCTAAAGCTGAAGGGGGAGCAGAGTAACGCCAAGGTGGAAGTTCTGGAGCAGGAGTTGGTGCGGGCTGAGGCGAATAATCTGGTTGCCGAGGCTCAATTGACCAATGTGGTACGTTATGTCCTCGCGAGTACCTGATAGAGCGCATGAGGCTAAGATTCGGCCGATAGACCAGACAGAAGCTCAAGGAGGCTTTTGATATCCATTTGGCCGCAGTCATTGAGCGCGGAGAGAAGCAGATTCTGCTCGCGCGTCATGCTCGCCGTCTCCTCAACCACCTCGATGATACCCCAGTCGTCCCTGGTGATGCGCGACAGCCCTATGAGCATGCCGATGAAGCAAAGCTGATCCTCGAGGCTGCCGAGAATGACCTAAAGTCGTGGGAGAGCACTGTCGAACCCATCCGTACAGCTGCGGGAGAGACTTCCGGCTCGACTCTACTGCCCACTGGAACTGGTAGAGGCCAGGAAGCTCACGTGGAATCTGTTGCCGGGTCTGACGCAACTGGAGCCGCTGCTGGGGGGGAGTTTGGAGAACCCGGCAGCGTCGCTGGTAATCTCAACGAAACTGACACCGAGGGCAGAAGCGTAAAGGTGGATCAGCCACAGATCGCGGGCGCTACCGGAGCGCAGCCTGTTGCCGTTCCATACTGAGAACAAGGGGGAACCAGATACTCATTCAGTGTAGTGTCCTAGTCGTCAGTTTATACTCTGTAGCATGATTTGATATTGGATGGGATGGTCGTGGGTATATGGATTTAGCCGGAGTCTATAGGAACTTTCATTAATGATTTGTAACAAACATGACAGCTTTTAATGGATCCAACGAAGTCAGTATATGTATTCGTTAGCAGTAGTCAATGTCACTTTCGTGGAGCTTATGGATGAATTGTGTCTTGGTATGAGTTGAATGCATTAAGCTCACGTGACGCAGGCGGCAGCAAGTGACGCGGATGTTGGAGCTTCAATGGAGCTGGCTGGAGCTGCAATTGCTTCCCCATTTCATCCATCCACGTCCGCCATCTTCCCTGTATATTATCATTTCGATTAGCTTATTGCCCTGTCTTTTTGCTACTTGAATCCAGAGGAGTACGTTTCGATCATGGATAAATTAGTCGCCCAGTACTCGCGGCCACCTCACCAGAATGAGTTCTACTCGGAGCAAGAACAGCAAGACCTGACAGAGAGCCTTCCTCCTCTATCTCTGAAATTCGCTCTTCCTCCAGTTGCAAATGTGAGCTACAGTTTGAGAACACTCCACCTGTTTGGACGTTTGGACATGTGAAAATGCTCTATAGTAGAGCGGATTTCACACCGAGCGGATCCTACACTGATCGCACTTCGAAGAAGCCATCAGCTAACATGTGTATCTTGCTCTTCTTCGCATCTAGTCCTCCGCATTCCTCCGTGCCATGACCGATGACCACTCGAATCCTAGCTGTCCTATCAAGCTCGCCCACGGAACAACAACACTCGCCTTCCGATTCCAGGGCGGAATTGTATGCCGTCATCTCCCCGGCCCAGCATTGTAGCAGCCTGGCTGACTCGTTGTCTCTTAGATCGTCGCGACAGATTCGAGAGCTACCGCTGGAAACTGGATCGCCAGTCAGACGGTCAAGAAGGTCATTCCCGTGTCGCGGTTGAGTCGGGGTGAGGACAAGAAGCAGGATGCTCCGGTCCCAGGTCTACTGGGTACCATGGCTGGTGGTGCTGCGGTATGCATTCTTTTGCGTTCTGGTGGCATGGTGACACTGACACAAATCCGCTCTCCAGGATTGCCAATACTGGCTGAGATACCTGAGTCAGCAATGCACACTTCACGGTGAGTCTGGATGTATCTCTCGCAGGGGTGCTGTGTTAACGTCGTGGCAGAGATCCGGCACAAGCGTCGTATCACCGTTGCGGCGGCATCGAAGATTCTCGCCAATCTGACATACGCTTACAAGGGAATGGGTCTCAGCATGGGTACAATGTTGGCAGGCGTACGTTTCGATCCTCCCTGGGAAATGGGGTGCAATGTGAAACTGATAACATCGCAGGTGACGCCTCAAGAAGGACCAGCCCTCTACTACATCGACTCGGACGGCACAAGACTCCCCGGAAACCTATTCTGCGTTGGGTCCGGTCAGACTTTTGCTTACGGTGTGCTTGACGCTGAGTACCGCTACGACTTAACTGAAGAGGAGGCCCTCGAGCTTGGCCGTCGGAGCATCCTTGCCGCCATGCACCGTGATGCTTACTCCGGTGGTTTCATCAACTTGTACCATGTCAAGGAGGAAGGTTGGGTCCACCACGGTTTCGACGATATGAACCCCATTTTCTGGAAGACGAAGCTGGAAAAGGGCGAATTCTCGAACGTTACGTCGGCCTTTTAAGGGCACGATTCGGGTGATTTCTGTGGTCGATATGATGATTATCTCGTAATTTCTTTTTCCCTAGGCACTGAAGACTTTTCGACTTGCGGTTGCCGCCATTGAAACCTATCTGGTAAAACAAAATAGGCAGACAGTCGATGGAATGAAAGCTAGATTACAATAGACGAAAGGCTGCACCCGGTATCCTTAAACGTCTCGATATGAAGATTAAGACGGAAGGAGTAGACCAAAAAAAAAAGACTCTAGATTGTATCCCACATAACATACAAACACCCTAAGGCGACAAAAAGACGAAACAATGCTCAAGCGCTCTATACACATGCTTTTTCCACTGAGCTCAGAGACTATCTGAACACCCGTATCTCGTAGAGTATATGCATCCCTTGTTCTTCCACCTAATTATCAACCCAGAACTTCATTCTGATGCCCATTGCGGCCAGTTCCACGTCGAGGTAGCGCAGGACACCCGGGACAGCGACGATGGTGACATTGTCACCGCCCACATAGCGGCGGCCGTCTCCGTCCTCCCACACCACGGCGCGAGAGTCCTCGAAAACAGCCTCGCGGGCGCAGCGTCGGCAGCGCACAATGCCCGGCGCCCCACTCTGCTGGGCGGAGGCGTTCTTGGCGGCGGCCGCGGCGGTAACGGCCAGACGGGCCTTGCTGGAGCCGGCGGACGAGACGGCGACCTGGGTGGAGAGGAAGGAGCCGCAGTCGCGGCAGATCCAGGCGCGCTGGGAGTCGGAGCAGTTCATCAGACGGTCCTGGAGGAGGAAGGCCGCGCCGTGGGCGATGAGCGAGTCGCGCTCCATCTCTCCGACACGGATACCGCCTCCCTTGGCACGACCCTTGACGGGCTGGCCGGTCAGCTGGTTGACGGGACCGGTGGTCCGGACCTGGAACTTGTCGTTGACCATGTGTCGGAGACGCTGGTAGTGGACCACGCCGATGAAGATGTCGGCGGCGAATTCCTTGCCCGTGATACCGCTGTACAGGGGCTCGTTGCCGTAGTAGTTGTAGCCGGCCTTGCGCAGCTGCTGGCCGAAGTAGTCCGCCGCGGTGTTTTCTTCCGAGAATTGGAAGGGGGTCGAGTCTTGAGGATGGCCGTGCAGAGCTCCGGCCTTGCCGGCCATGGATTCGATCATTTGGGCGATGGTCATACCTGAATACATTAAGTCAGTTCGCATGAAATGCAGTTGAAGGGGCCTGGAAAGGTGACTTACGAGAAGGGAAGGCGTGAGGGTTGATGATCAGATCTGGCTGGATACCGCTCTCGGAGAACGGCATGTCAACCGCAGGCCAGAGCTGAGAGCAGACACCCTTCTGTCCGTGACGAGAAGAGAATTTGTCACCGATAACAGGTCTTCTGGGGATACGGTACTTGACGCTGAGTGCCTGGCACGGCTCCAGACCAGTCTCGGCACCCATGATCCGGATGCTGTCAATGTATCCTTCTTCTGCGTCTTTGTACTTGACGAAGTGGGTGATGCCGTCGACGTTCACGTAAGAGTCAGAAGCAGCATCATAGCGCACAGTATGCCATGCAGCAATCAGACTTCCCTCCTTGACTCTGGCGCCCACATGAGGGAGACCATCCTCGTCGAGGGTAGTACGCCACTCTGCCCGGATCTCACCGCCAGGAGCGAAACCGAAGAGCTTGGTGATCTCGCGTCTGGATTTGCTGCGCCGCGAGTCCTTGTCGTCAAGAGAGTGAATCTTGGTCTTGTAAATAGTACCGTAACCGAAGCCGCGCTCGTGCGACGACTTGTTGATAATCATGGCGTCATCCATGTCGTAACCAGTGTACGAGATAATTGCCACGACCGCGTTCGTGCCGTTCGGGAAGTTGTCTAATCCGTATGCGTTGTACAGTGGAGGTCGTACAATAGGCGTCTGACCAGTCTGCAACCTGTACAGCTTGTTGTCGGTACGGTAATCGATCGCCGTGCCGGGTGTACCCATTGTCTGCTTGCTCATCTGGCATTGGTACATGTTACGGGGCGACTGGTTATAGTCAGAGAAAGGCGTCATATTGGCGACGATGGATAGAATGTTCGTCGGTGTGAACTCGATGTGCGTGGACACGCCCGCGACAAGATCGTCGGGCAAGCATGCAATCTCCATAAACGGCTGCTCGAAGGGACCCACGTAGTCAAGCTTGTCGAGGGGTAGGTACTTGACAGGTCTGTACATTCTGGCGGCTTGAGAGAACATGTAGATACCGGGGTATTGGCCACCGTTCGAATTGGGAACATAACCGATCTCCAGTTCTCGTGGGATGTTGTGTGTACCCGAAACCTTCCAGTGCCGAAGGGTATCGGCAATCATACGGGCCTGCTTGGGTGAGCAGTATCCAACGATTCTGCCATCCACTTGAACCGTAACGCTGTCTTCCAAGGCAACAGATGATTCAGAACGTACACCAAGCTGCACCAACAACTTGGGAAGGTGAGAGATGTTGACGTCGCTTGTGGCGATCAAGCACTTGTGAGCAAGATGGTTAAGCAACCCACAGGGTGCTCCATCAGGAGTGTGAACCGGGCAGAGGAAGCCCCAACTCTCGGGAAGCAGCTTACGGACAGTAGTCGTCTTCAGCTGTGCGAAGAAACTACCTCTGTGAATCATTCGGAAGTGACTGATGAATCGGTAGAAGTTGATCTTTTCCGCCATGACAGTGTAACCAGACACCTGTTGTAAATCGAGACCTGTGGGACTGACAAGATTACCGGTTGACAGGAAATACTCCAGCTTACCACCGATGTTCTCGTTAGTTCTCTTGACAACCTTGCTCAAAAAGTCTCTTTCGAAAGCTGGATCCGTGAATTTGGCACCGCCGTTGCGATTGGACCAGTCCCTCAGGATGGGGCCAAAAGATCTTATCCATTCCTCAAGCTGTTCCTTGAGAATCATGCCGTAGAGGAAACCGCCGAGCAGGATTTCTTGGTTGGAAACGGCATCCGGGTTGTCTGGGGCACAATCTCCAGCAACAAGCGCGTACAGCTTCCGGATCATGAACATGATCATCTTGAATTTGTCATAGTCTTGGGTCTCGGTGACATTTTGGTTACCAAGATGAGGCAAGACAATTTTGCGGAGGAACTCTGTACCGGCATCCTCGTTGGACATATCTGCCGGAACACCAAGGACGGGCTTGAACTTTTCGCCCAGATAAGCTCGGCAGGAGGAACGGGTATGTACGTTGTAGGCTTTGTATGTTCTCAGTAGCAGTTCCACACGGTCCGTCACGAATGTATTGTTGACACCCTTGGACGTAGCGCT